AGCGGGTGCTGATCAACATCTCGGGGCTGCGCTTCGAGACCCAGCTGGGCACCCTCAACCAGTTCCCCAACACGCTGCTGGGGGACCCGGATAAGCGCATGCGCTACTTTGACCCGCTCCGCAACGAGTACTTCTTCGACCGAAACCGGCCCAGCTTTGACGGGATTCTCTACTTTTACCAGTCTGGGGGCAAGCTTCGCCGGCCCGTCAATGTCTCCATCGACGTCTTTGCTGATGAGATCCGCTTCTACCAGCTGGGTGAGGAGGCTATGGAGCGCTTCCGGGAGGATGAGGGCTTCATCAAGGAGGAGGAGAAGCCCCTGCCCCGCAATGAGTTCCAGCGCCAGGTCTGGCTCATCTTTGAGTACCCTGAGAGCTCCAGCTCAGCCCGGGCCATCGCCATCGTCTCTGTGCTGGTCATCCTCATCTCCATCATCACCTTCTGCTTGGAGACCCTGCCAGAATTCAGGGATGAGAGGGAAATGCCTGTACCCCTGCCCCCACAAAGTGGAGGTTTGAATGGCACGACTGGGGACTCTCCAGCCATGCAGCCACCCAGTAGCTTGTCTGATCCCTTCTTCATCATTGAGACCACCTGCGTGATCTGGTTCACCTTTGAGCTCCTTGTCCGCTTCTTCGCCTGCCCCAGCAAGCCTGAGTTCTCCCGCAACATCATGAACATCATCGACATCGTGGCCATCATCCCCTACTTCATCACCCTGGGCACCGAGCTGGCCCATGAGCAGCAGCAGCCTGGGGCTGGCAGTAGCAATGGAGGAGGGGGCCAGCAGCAAGCCATGTCTCTTGCCATCCTCAGAGTTATTCGCCTGGTCAGGGTCTTCAGAATCTTCAAGCTCTCCAGGCACTCCAAGGGTCTGCAGATCTTGGGACAGACTTTGAAAGCCAGCATGAGGGAGCTTGGCCTCCTCATCTTCTTCCTCTTTATTGGGGTGATCTTGTTCTCTAGTGCAGTATATTTTGCTGAGGCCGATGACCCTGAGTCTCATTTCTCCAGCATCCCTGATGCTTTCTGGTGGGCAGTGGTAACCATGACCACTGTGGGCTACGGGGATATGCGACCTGTCACCGTGGGGGGCAAGATTGTGGGTTCCTTGTGTGCCATTGCAGGTGTGCTCACCATCGCCTTGCCTGTCCCTGTCATTGTATCCAACTTCAACTACTTCTACCACCGAGAGACTGATCATGAAGAGCAAGCTATCCTCAAAGATGAACACAGTAGTGCTCAGGGCAGCACAGCGGGGGGAGATACGAAAAGAAGATCCAGTAGAAACTCTCTGAACAAATCTGTTGTGCACTTGGAAAACAGTGAGGGTTTCAACAATGGCACCAGCTCCTTAGAGAAAGCCAATATAAAAGCAAAAAGTAACATAGATCTCAGAAAATCCCTCTATGCTCTCTGTCTGGACACCAATAGGGAAACAGACCTGTAAGGAGAGAAGAGAGTTAAGAGTTCAGAGATGCAGGAGAATTTGCTGGTGTCAGAAACTTACTACTATAACTATTCTTTTGGTACCAATTAGTTTTTTAAATCGGGCTATATTTTATAAATTGATAACTATCCTGAGTAGTCCTCCAGGGATACATGTTTTTATGTTCTTTTTCCATGACACAAAGGGTCACCTATTTTTAAAATAGACTAAGAATAAGCTACGCTCCATGATGCAGGAGCTGGTAAATTTTGACAGTGCAAAATCTAATTTGTAGAAACTTATTTTAGCAAATTGTAGTTGGTTTTAAATGGGTAATTTGTAACTGTTTCAGTTACTTCAAGTTTAGAGCTGGGGGATGTGTGTTTGGAGAATGAATGGATTGGAGGGGAGGGAGGTTGAGGTTTTTTTGTACTGTAGTTTCAAACTGAAATTATTCAAATATTTTTTATATCTGTATAACTATTTATGGTTGAAAGGGGATTTCTTATTCCTGTGAAATACGCCATTGTTAAAGCACTAGGAACATTAGCAGACGAGCACTTTCAGAGTTTTCCACTTGTGATCAGCACAGATCTGGTTTTCTAGTATGTGAAGTGAATTTGGTGCTTTTAACCCTATAGCAGAAAACTTACTGTCATTGGTATGTTAGTTTCTTGTGAGCCTTAAATTATTAAATATTGTAGATATACTTCTTTATAAATAATTGTATTAATTACCTTACTGTTTCAGAACTTCTAAATAATTCAGTCCTGTGCTTCCTGCTACTCAAAAAAAATGTTTGTGCAGCTTTTTTTTTTTTTTTTTTTTTGGTAGTTTTACGATTTTATACCTTCGTTATATTTTTCAGACTGAAAGAAAAAAGCTTATTGTCTGCTGTTGCTGGTTTCGATCCAAGTGCACAACAGATCAAAAACATGAGGGAGTGGATAGACAGAACAAAAGAAAGTAGAATATGAGTGCAATATCTGCAAAGGTACTTTCATTGTACACTCCAGATTACTTTGGCATGTGCATCCATCACCGTTATGTATCCATACCATTTGTGTACACAGTTCGCTGTTTTTAATTATCAGACTGGAAATGGACGACACTTAAAGAATCTGACATGGCATGCCGTGCTACTTAAATAACCATTGCGTGGCTTATATCTTGGACTCAGACGGAAAGCATCACCTTTCATCAAAACACATCTTTGTTTTATTTCCAAACAAAATCTTTTCAGTGCTGTGGATTTTACAGTTAAAATGTCATTGAAAGACAAATGGCACATTACCTTCCTTGTGATAACACAGTGCTGCGCAGCGTACTAGTGAAGACTGACACAAATTTGCTTTTTTTTTTTTTTTTTAATCAAAGAGCTGTATTATCATTTTTCTTGCAAAGGACATCTCTGTTTTCCCATCAAACTCCTGCTTTATTGCTGAAGAACGTTTCATGCCTTTACCACATATGGTGGCACAGCAAGACTAGCAGAAAGAGAAGTCTTGATTGTCAGCGCTCAAGGTTTGTTTCTAACATGTTTTCTAATACAACTAAGTAAATGCTAAATCAGGATTATAATTTATGCAAGTACCTCAGATATATGTACTGTGATAAATTTAAATCAGCTTTGCAGAACAGTGCTTTGACATTCTCTTGTCCAGACGCAAATTCTGCTTACCTGTCCCTTACCATGCTGCTTAATGTTAATGGCCAAATGAATGATGTTTTTCCTTCCTGTTCAGTAAAACAGGCATGGTTAAGTGCCAAGCAAGTAGTATTTTGCTTGTTTGGTATAAAGAACCGTCACACAGAGCTCAACCCAAAACCCAGGGCTGATGGGGAAGGAGGTTGAATCTGATAATAGAGAACAGGATCTTTCACATCAATTTTACATGTTGGCTTCTTGGTTAGTTTGCTGGTTTATTGAGATGGGGAATGATGATGTAGGATGCTGAGAAAGTGTCTGCAACAAAACTGGCAGACAAAGTGCCCAGTCCGGCTGCGCTCCAGACACAGGCAGATCTCCTGCTCGCTCTAGTGAGAGTTCTTGCATCCAGGTGAAGTGCAGAATTAGCCCTTTTGTGAGACTGAATCTAAAATGAAACAAGTGATACAGATGTGTGTTGCACATGCTGAGATCTATATTGTTGATAGACTTACAGGGAACTTTTTTGCTCAGGCAAATAGTTTACTTTACTTTCAGTGGTTAAATCCCAGTGACTTACCGGAATAAGTACCAAACAATGCAGTGAGTCTTTCAGGATCAAACTTCGGGTGTGTCTTCTAGCTACTACCCCCACCCTCCTGACCACTTTTGTCTTCCATAGTTTGCGTTTCCAGTTGTGCATTGTGCTGAATTAGACTGTCAGGTCCTCAGAGCAGGAGCAGCGTGTATCTATAGTCCCTTGTTTAACAGTGGAACCTTGCTTATGGCCAGGGCTTCTGGATATTAGTGATCTGAATTACGTAACAGTAATTATTGCAATTAGTGGAGTAACACTGGAGTAAAGCTGATGGAGGTGAAAGCAGATCAGGGGAGTGGGTTGAGCTGATCTTAAAAGACCATTGCTGATGGAAAAGGAAGGCCTTGCCTTCCTCCTTCCTTTTCAGTTTTCTTCCTCCCATTGCGTGCCCTTGTGTTGCTTACCCTGAATTGGTTCTGTCCTTGTGCAAGCACATGTGCAAGTGCTGCCTTCTCTTCCAGGAGATGCTTGAGCTCACGAGTCAGGCAGAAAATTCAGTGCAGCCACAAAGTAGATCTTTTTCTGTCAGTGAGTGGGAAAGCAAGTGCCGGAGTCAGTGCAAGAAAGGGATAAGGAAGGTCAATGGTGCAGGGAAGTGAGGAGGTAGGGAGGAGTGAATTCTTCACCCTTCAGTGGCAGTGAACTGTTTAGATTATCACGACTGCTTGTTGAACCCTACTTCATGTTTGCAGACATACCACAGGACTTGGTCTCGCGAGGTGCTGGGGGCCTTTAGCTTCCCGCTGGAGCCAATCTGCAAAATGCAGCTCTGGATTCCAGTGTATGTGCCCTGCTGTAACTGAGAGTAGAGTTTGTCCCAATCAAGATCGAGCTCTATGAAAGCAAAATACACCGATTGCGGCACAGGGTTCTATGCAAGCTTGTCAGATCATTCCTCGACCATCACTTTGAACATGCTGCATTTTTCCATAATAAAACAACAGAACTTTCCAATAAAAAGAAAACCAATTCTTCTCAAAATACGGTTGAAAATATTTGTTTGGCTTGTCTTTCTAAAGAGTTGTTGAGCACAGTTCAGGCAAACTTGGTTTTGACACCTTTTTTTACAAAGATGCATATTTTCTATTGGTTTACAAGGCAGTAAAGGATTTGCTTTCTAATGAGAAGTTGCTGACAGAAAATGAGTAATACAACCAGAAACGTGGTTAGATCACAGGTCAGCAAAGCACTTAGCCTGGGCTCAGCTTTAAGCACATGCTTAAGTAA